GTTAATTCTGGAAGGTGCAATCTGCATGTCTATTAACATACGAAGGGTAATGTGCCCATTGTGCTTCATGCATGAATATGTAAGTGCATCTCAGTGTGTAATTATGCGCTTATTTTGAATAAATGGAAAAACACGTTCCCCATGCCCTCCATTGTCCTCGATTTAAAGTGAATGCAGCCCCGTGGCGTTGCCAAAAACCGCCAAGCTTCGGGAGTGAGCACGTACAGACGCGTAGTGACCACACTTGCAATACAATCACTCTAACATCAGTAACCAAAATCCGATCTGGTACATGGTCTCCGTTGGTCTGGTTTGTATCTGTCATCACCCTGGAGACAAACACGAGGCATGGTTTGGCCAGCCACCAACTCGTTTGCCGCAGCGAGTTTAATAGCTGCTCTCAAACAACACTGTCACCAATGGTGGTTTACAGGCTAGGCTGTTAAGCGGACAATCAGTCGTTTTGGGCAAGGCGTATGGAAAATACACACCTCTGTTATCCCATAAACACAATACACAGCATCGGTAAGGCTGCCTTGTTGGGGAGATGTAGTTTGGGTAAGGTGCTGCAACTGGAGTTAGGCGATGTGACTGGGTTATCACACGAATTCCGAAAAGCAGCTTAGACGATACGATCCACTGCGCTCCATCTCCCCACATGGACAACGACATTCTGAGTTTTAAAAAAGTGGAATATATATTTGTAAATACGTTTTTTTAAATAATGTGTGTTGTATCTATGTTACAATGTGTGATTGTTATACTCTTTATTTGTGTATACTGTATATACTTACATGGCTATTCGATTCCATTGATACGACACATTCATCCAACAGTGGAAAGTGTGATTCTAATACGAGTGGGATTCGAATAATTGTAATTCGATTCTAATCCTGCATATCCTACCCCCGGTTGGCATATTAACTTACCATACGTACAACCACAGTGTGATTCTAATTAGCTCAGTGCGATTCTAATGATTAGTATGCGATTATAATCCCATACCTCCAATTATGTGGTTCTGCGCTATAACAGTTAATCGTATTTTAAAGCGTTACAATGGATAGGTTGTAGTTCATAGGTTATAATATTATATTTCACTATGTTAGAGTTTAACATGTGAGAGTCTACAATGTCAGAGTTGATCAAGAGCGTCAATCTTGATCGACGCAGAAGCAAATGCAGCAGCAGCAACATCACATTTCGAGGGCGACGCAGCTACTTTTGATTCTGCTGCTTCCGCTGCTCAGATATTTGTTTGTGTGTATAGGTCTGTGTCATCGGGGATCAGCGAACACTGCTTATGAATGAACTCGCACACCTTTATGACCGACATTGTACTAATTTTCGTTGATCGAGACGAACAAGGCACGTGCCATGTCCAGACGAATTGATATTAACAATATTGTCCTTAAATATAATGCTAACACTGGATTAACGTTAACACTGGATTAAACATGCACATTTTAAACCCTGCCTAGCATTTATGACTAACTATTCGCATTTGCACATAACATATATTCAAGCACAGTAAAATGCGCATATGAACATATTGTTACTAGAATAATTTGAATGCGATTCTAACCCTGCAAACCCCCACAGTTCGCATATCCGTCCCCCGATTCGATTGAACCTACACTTGACATACATATGAGCGATTAAAATGCTTCTAATGACATTCTCATACCGTAACTTCGTTTATGGTGGAATCTATTAGAAAAACATTTTTACAGTCGTTTAATGTTTAGTGTTCATAGTGTTATCAGTTTACATGTTATAGAGTAAAGGTGATCCCCCGTATACTTCGGGTTTCGGGACCAGAACGTTGTGAAACGATTTACAACGAGGAAATTTCCCTGTCTGAGCGCAAGCCGCTAATGAAAAGAACACGGGGCGGCGGGAACACGTGCTTCCATGAGCGGTCGTAGACAGGTTGTGTTGCCCAAAGGTGACACCGGGTACGTCCACCAAGTTGCTCCGCCCACGGCGGCGACAGGTAGAAGTCATAGAGGTGACATGGCCGCAGTGTGTACGCATGTAGTTATGTCCGTCCCCACCCAGACAGCTCATCCCCATGTCCTGTACAGGCCAAGTCTGGTGTGTCCGACGTGGTGGGGCGCTCGGCAACGGAAACCGTACGCCAAAAGGAAATGTGTTGTGGCGCCCACAGTTTCTGAGCCCCTGAGGCCTGGGGTGCCTCAAGGATCCGCCACGTGCGAGGAACCGGTGCCTGGAGCCTGGTCAAATTCTCCAAAAGAAGCCAGGGACCTGCCTAATCCTTCAAGGCTGTGGTGTGAACCCTTGACGCCCCGACATGCACAAGATTCTACCATGGGCGCGGGACGGGCGTCGAGAACCAGGTCAAAATGCGCAAGGTTGCGCTTGTAGGCTCCACGCCCAATATCAATGCTGTGTATTGCTATTCGGTGCCATTGCGATGGAACATTCTACCAGCAGTGGGCAGCTTGATTCTAATACGACCATGGTGCGATTTTAATAATTTTGATGCGATTCTAAATCTGGCACCACCCAGGCCGCATTTACGACTCCCGATGTGCATCTACATATAACATACATTCTAGCTCAGTGTAATTCTAATACTACCAAAGTGATATTCTAATCATTTTAATCCGATCATAATCCTGCACCCCCCAATTCGCATATTCGACCACCGGTTCGCATGTCCAAAGGCCATATATGCATATTACATGCGTACATACGAGCACAGTTCGCTTGCACGTACACTATACATTCATATACGCAGAGTGTGATTCTAATACGATCACGTTGAAATTCTACTGCTTGTAATGAGATTATAATACCGTACCTCTGTTTTTGGTGTTATAAATGATGAAACTAGTTTGTAGTAGTTTAATGTTTTGTGTTATCGTTTATAGTGTTACAGTTCACATGTCTTAGCGTACAGGATTCCCTGTATACTTGATGATTAGGGACCGTAACGTTGTGAATCGATTAATAATGGGGCCCTTTCCCCTCCAGGAACACATGTTAATGGGGAGACTGCCGGTTAAGGGCAGATTTGTGTGACGAAGATCCTCCACCTGAAACTCGCTTAAAACACGTTGTTGATATGAATAAATGAACGGACACACATTTGTTAAAAAAAACGTTTTTATTCATCTGCAATCAAGTCAAAACTCGAACCGAATGTATTATGTCCTATGTTCAAACAGTTACAATACAATGCAAACCATATCCGTTCCAGGAATACCAACGCGTTAAAGTATCATTCCCCATTATTTCCTTATTAGTTCACCACATTTGTTCACTGTGCGTCTATGTTGAAGTCAAGGCCATATATCCAACGAACGCGTCATCAATGTACATCCTGAAATCGGCTATCTTAAGTCGATTAATACCAACCAAAAAAATCTATATGCTTGAAAAAACCCGTTTAAAATGTTGAGAAAAGATCTAACTAAAGATGCATTCCAACTTTAGCTCAACAGGAAGACTTAAACACTACAATATTGTCCGGAATTGAATTATATCACAACCACTGCTCATCACGCCACTTCGGCAAGTAATCCGATAACATTACAAACCACCATTGTGCACGTCATTAAACTCTCACAAAAACTGTAAGTCATCCCTGACTCTCGGTTTGATCGTCGAGCCACTCCATTACATCCAGCCATCTCTCGGGATCCAACTGCATGGGATCGAGGGTGGAAAATTCTTCAGGACTCAATGCAGCACCTTGAACTTCAGCTTTTGATTTCAGTTTCCAATCATTGTGGACCTTCTGATGCGTGCTAAGATTTGACGACTGTGAAAATGCCTTCCCACACACAGGGCACAGGAATGGCTTCTCGCCCGTGTGTGTTCTCTGATGGTTTTGAAGAGTTGATGATTGTGCAAATGCCTTCCCACACACAGGGCACAGGAATGGCTTCTCGCCCGTGTGCGTTCTCTGATGAGTTTTAAGAGTTGATGACCGTGCAAATGCCTTCCCACACACAGGGCACAGGAATGGCTTCTCGCCCGTGTGCGTTCTCTGATGAGTTTGAAGAGTTGACGATTGTGCAAATGCCTTCCCACACACAGGGCAAAGGAACGGCTTCTTGCCCGTGTGTGTTCTCTGGTGTCTCTGAAGATCTGATGGCCATGAAAATGACTTCCCACACACAGAGCAATTGAATGGCTTCTTGTCTCCGTGTGCGTGGGGCTGTGGAGAGCGTCTCTGCTCCATGTGAGCGTAGTAACAGCAGCGGTGTTATCGAGTTAAAAGTACGCTATCGGCCGCAAGGATGTTTAGCGTTGAGTTTTGTTAACTGCTATAACAAGAACGACACTCGCGTCTAAGCGAGACGCAAAAAAAATCCCATAAATTTGACGACGAACACGTTTAAGAGTTTATCCGCGAAAATAGACACTTACTTGGAGATTCACGATATATCGGTGTCTGGAACCCGTCTAAAGATGTCGCCACGAACTCTCCCGACGCAAAGTCGCCTAACTGTCGACACAGCAATTGTGCTCGCCAGGCTGCGTTGTCTCGCGGTTGAAGGGCGATCAGCAGAGCGACGAGTCGAGTGTCCAACCTCATCAAGTTCCCTCTCGAAATGGCATTGAGCTCTGTTTCTGAGCCGACTTATAACTCCCCCCTAGGATCCAATCCTTTGTCTTTCAAGATATTTGCATTCGATTGTTAATTTTGGAAGGTACAATCCGCATGTCTTTTAACATACCGAAGGGTAATGTGCCCATTGTGCTTCATGCATGAATATGTAAGTGCATCTCAGTTTGTAATTGTGCGCTTATTTTGAATAAATGGAAAAACTTTGTCCTCGATTTAAAGTGAATGCAGAGAAATTAGCATGTAACTTTAGAAAAGGAAGAGAGCGGCCTTCTCGACGAGGGAGTGAAACAATATCCCAAACTCAACGCTAAACATCCTTGCGGCCGATAGCGTACTTTTGACTCGATAACACCGCTGCTGTTACTTCGCTCACATGGAGCAGAGACGCTCTCCACAGCCCCGCGCACACGGAGGAAAGAAGCCATTCAATTGCTCTGTGTGTGGGAAGACATTTTCATGGCCATCACATCTTCAGAGACACCAGAGAACACACACGGGCGAGAAGCCGTTCATGTGCCCTGTGTGTGGGAAGACATTTGCACATTCATCACATCTTCAGAGTCACCAGAGAACACACACGGGCGAGAAGCCGTTCATGTGCCCTGTGTGTGGGAAGACATTTGCACATTCATCACATCTTCAGAGACACCAGAGAACACACACGGGCGAGAAGCCGTTCATGTGCCCTGTGTGTGGGAAGACATTTGCACAGTCATCACATCTTCAGAATCACCAGAGAACACACACCGGCGAGAAGCCATTCCTGTGCCCTGTGTGTGGAAAGGCATTTGCACACTCGTCAACTTGTCAAGACCATCAGAGAACACATACGGGCAAGAAGCCATTCCTGTGCTCTGTGTGTAGGAAGACATTTGCAAAGTCATCACATCTTCAAAGTCACCAGAGAACACACACGGGTGAGAAGCCATTCTTGTGCTCTGTGTGTGGGAAGGCATTTGCACGGTCATCAACCATGAACATGCATCAGAAGGTCCACAATGATAGGAAACTGAAATCAAAAGCTGAAATTCAAGGTGCTGCAATTGGTCCTGAAGAAGTTTCCACATTCGATCCCATGCAGTTGGATCCCGAGAGATGGCTGGATGTAATGGAGTGGCTCGGGGATCAAACCGAGAGCTCGGGGTGACTGAAAAAATATTACGTCATGTGGTTATACCTATTAAGCCGTATCGAGTACTTTTGTGTGTAATTTTGACCATTTTAGTTTTATTGTTTTTGTGAGAGTTTCGTGACGTGCACAGTGGTGGTTTGTAATGTTATCGGATTACTTGCCGAAGTGGTGTGATAAGCACTGGTTGTGTGAGGGTTCAATTGTAGTCGTTACGTGTTCCTGTTGAGCTAAAGTTGGAATGCGTCTGTATGTACATCTTTACTCAATATTTTAAACGGGGTTTGTCAAGTATACAGCTGTTTTTGATTGGTATTAATCGACTTTAGATCGCCGATTTCAGGATGTACATTGATGACGCGTTCGTTGGATATATGGCCTTGACTTCAACATAGACGCACAGTTAACAAATGTGGTGAACTAATAAGGAAATGCTTTGGTATTCCTGGAACGGAAATGGTTTGCATCCTACTGGAAATGTGTGAACATAGGACATAATACATATTTCCTTCGAGTTTTGACATACAAATGATTGCAGATTAATAAAAAGTATTTTAAAAAATGTTTGTCCGGTCTTTATTTTATAATGTTCCTAGCAAAAATATGTTAAGATAATTTCAGGAGGAGGATCTCCGTCACACAAGTGTGCCCTTAACCGGCAGCATCTTGGCTGTCTACCCGATTAACACGTGTTCCTTGATGGGAAAGGTCCCCGTAGTTAATCGTTCATCAACGTACCAGTCCCTAATCCCGAAGAATGTCGTGGATAAACTGTACTCTATAACATGTAAACTGTAATACTATAAACGATAACACTAAACATTAAATGATTATAAACTAGTGTTTTAATTTATAACCATATAAACGGAGGTAAGGTATTATAATATCATTATAAGCAGTAGAATCACAGTGTGGTCTTATTAAAATAGCACTTTGCTCATATGTATGTATAGTGTACGTGCAAGGATCGGATTAAAATCATTACAATTACACTACGGTCGTTATAGAATCACGATTTTCACTGCTGGATGAATGTTCCATCTCAATGGTATCGAAGAGCAATAGACAGTTTCCCATTAATAAATAAACGCACAAACACATTATAAGCTCATGAGCTTATGAATCGTTACAATTATTATAACAATCACAAATTGTAACAAAGCGAAATTCCCACTAAGCAAAACACCACGCTCACGTGGCGGATTCTTTAACAAACTGCAACACTAAAGTGACAGAACTCAACAAGAAATGCGCACGACAAGTTCAACAACAATGGACAAATCCTAAAAACAGACAACACGCACGTTAGTAGCTGTTAGAAGAAGACAACACCTAGCACCTTCAACTTTACACATTATACAGCCCCAAAGATCCAACTCGAATATTAGGCGGTATATGACACCATTTGAACTTCCTACTTTCGTTTTCGATTAATGAAGATATTCTTGGCAAATACTATCGCTTTCGCTTGTGATGTACCTCCTAATTATGGCCTCAGGTTAAAAAAAGAAATTTATTTCGAATTCCTCCATTATTCCAAGCTGCACAATTCAGGGTTGTGGACCGCTTTGAATGCTTCAATTTAATCACAGTAAATGCTTCAGACCACATCAGGACACTCAACCTAGAGCATATTTGAAGCAACGTGATGAGATGGCTAAGAACTTCAAGTTTATTCTAGTGTTAACGATATTTTAGCAATATAGGTAAGTACACTTTGTGATAAGAATTCGTCAACATAGCAGGTGTCTTGTTCTCCATAATCAACCAAAATTACGACAAATTTAGTCATAAATGAGTGTGAGCTAATTATTCGGTAGTATTCGCTAATCTCCGTCACACAAGTCTGCCCTTAACGAGCAGCATCTTGGCTGTCTCCCCATTAACATGTTCCCAGAGGGGAATGGCCCCGTTATAAATCGTTTCGCAGCATTCTGGTCCCTAATCCCGAAGTACAATATACTGGAGATCACCTGTACTCTATAACATGTCAACTGTAACATTATAAACGATAGCACTAAACATTAAACTACTATTATTTTAAAGCGTCGCAATGTATAGTTTCCGTTTGCCGAGCGCCCCACCACGTCGGACACACCAGACTTGGGCTGTACAGGATATGGGGATGAGCTGTCTGGGTGGGGACGGACATAAGTCTTGAGGCGGGATGGGTGGATGAACCAACGGCGATGCCCTATCTACATTCGTACACACTTAGGCCGTTTCACCTCTATGACTTCAGCTGTATCACTATAAACGATAACACTCAACATTAAACGACTATCTTAAACAACTACGCTGGTTTGGTCGTCTGCGTGCGTATCTGGACGTTAATTTATTTACGGACCCGCCCAAACAGCTAGCTCTGATTCGTCGATAAAAATTAATAAAACAGCCGGCAAAAAGCCACAGCTCACTTTCATTCGACAAATATAAATAAATAAACCTGCCGCACAACAGCGTCTCTTCGGTCAACAATTGCACCTACTTTCACACAACACCATATTCACAGTGATGGTCGCAACGCAAAATCTACTGTAGGTACAGTGTTGCTGTTGCACCCGCCGAACGCTGCGTTCTGGTGGCGATATCTCCCCAACGAAGAACGTCCGCGGCTGCAACCAAGAACCCTCCACTAATCAGATAGCCACATACATTTTCAATTCCAGAACTTTCAATAAAATCTGTTCATTATTGGTGGGGTTCGGTTCGACGGCCCAGTGGACAAAACTGACCACTCTTTCGTACGCAGCTCCATCAATATTACGCCCATTCCCTTGAAACCACTGTGCTTAATCTTTAATTGGGCCGAAACAAGTGTGTGCAAAGTGGCCCTGCACAGTTCCCGGCCCTACATATCAAACCAGCGCTCGATCTCATTGGACTAATTAATTATCCCTTACATTTAATTGCCTCAAAGTGGCCTGCGTGCTTTGTGGCGGCAGCACGCGTCAGTCAGTCAGTCGTCCGTTTCCAAACATGCAGAAGCACACAGAAGGTAAGCGCTGTGTGATAGCATAGGTCTGACAAGGTCTGCGCCGCAGTGGTGCAGTGCACTGTGGGCGCAGACCCTGCGCTATGTGAGTGGTGTGTATGCAAGTGTGCGAATGGTAGTTACGCTAATATTACGTATGTTTATGTAAATGGACCGCATAACACCGACAAATAACATTTTCGAAATGGTGGAGCGCATATCGATGCTGCGTTACTAATAAAATCAAACAAAACAAACCGCTGCATCTGTAAGTGTGCCAGTGTGCGCTTATGGTGGATAGTGCTGCGTGCGGAAGTGAGGGTCATCTTTGGGTAAAACAAACACTCTGAACGCGCAAGAACATAGCTGGCGGTCGCGTAGGGACTTGGTAGCGAGCAGGGTAGAGGCACTGCGTGTATTATATCTGTCGTCACTACGTCTGTGCGTCAGTCGGAGGGACTATATCTGCCAGTACCCGTGCGCAACAGTACAGCGACATATATTCTACAGTGCTTCAGATGTCACAGACTGAGAGGCAACGCGCTTTACATAGGCTTTCTGTCTAACGCGTCACGTTTGTGTACGCAGACTTCCAGATATCTGACCACAGCCACCACGATTACTACAAGTACTGGTCGTGGAACACGGAGAGGGTGCCTAAGCTGCTCAACTATTTCATACTCACCCTCACCTAGGATAATGCTTCATCCAAATCCCTATAGCAAGCGAAACAGAGACACACGAGAGGAGCTCGAGGACGCTTTGCACAAAAACGAAATCGCACATGCAACTCCTGCCGCGACCGAGCCCAAGGAGGTCAAAGATCGTTGCCGCAATCGCCGCCGAATGAAGCGATTTCGGTTGAATAAGCCAAAGTGAGAGCTTTACTTGGGGAATGCTATCGATGAAGGGCGCATAGCAACCAACGCTGGCAACGACACAATGGATCAACCAAGTGATATGCAGGATGTCCTCATGGACGTACACGATCATGTCGTTTCTCCCGGCGACTTCCATGTGGTTCTTTAGGAAGGTAAGCAAGAAGAAGACGACCCTGACTTTGTCATTGCTCGAGCCGCAGGGCGGGAGGATCCACAACTCACACTGGGCTTTCAAGAGTTGCGTCGCCTAAAGCGCAACGAGAAGGATCGCTTGCGACGTGCTGAGCGATCTCCGTTTCAACAAGATGCTGAGCGAGCACATCGCGCTGCGCTGGAGGCCCAGCGTCGTTCGAGAATGACTGCCGAGAGACTACTGGATGAACGATATCGTCGCAGTGAATCGGAAGCTGAGCGGCGCCGAAGGTTGACGGAACAGCAGCAAGACGAAGAACGACGTCGCCACAGTGTGCTGGAAGCAGAGCGCCTTGGGAGGTTGACGGAAGAACAGCAGGAGGAAGCGCGTCGACGCCATGCTGAGTTGGAAGCTGAACGTCTCGCCAGGATGACGGAAGAACAACAAGAGGAGATGTGACAGCGCCAGTCCCAACGGCAAATGGAGAGGACAGAAAACGAAGTCGAGGAGACGCTGGAACAGCGACGCGTTCAACGGCGAACCAAGCGCTACAAGGACGCCCTCGCCAACCAAGACGAGTTTGAAGTCTCGAGAGTTTCGGGGAAGAATGTCATCGCAGGAAGACACAAACTACCAGAGCCAACTTCCGTTTGCTCGAAGTGTCGAGCATGGAAGTGGCCGGGCGAGTCTTCGATCACATGCTGCATTGACGGCAAGGTCGCTCTTCCGCCACTCCAGCCTGCCCCGGCCATTCTACGCAAGTGGTACCAAGATGAATAGTTTCGGAAACAGATACGCATGTACAATCAAGTGGTTGCATTTACGTCGCTTGGTGCATCTTTCAGCAATCCCCGCTTCGACCCAGTAGCGGAAGATCAAAGTGTCCAAAGGCAGAGAGGCGTGTATACATACCGTATCCAAGGAGCGATGAGCCATTTCTTGGGATCTTTGTTACCATATACGGATCAAGCCGGTCAGACAATGAAGCCCAAGTTTGCGCAGATTTACGTGTACGATCCAGATGTGGAAGCACGAGTGGCTCGCCGACAGGGGATTTTTTGTGGCCTCAACAGAGTCGCGCTGTTGGACTTGGAGCACATGATGGAGACGTGCAACCCGTTTGTGCGCGAGTTCCTTACGATGGGTCAGCGGATGAGAAGCATGATCGAAGCCGGCGACAACCCCGTCAACGTCGTGTTTCGCCTGCGTGCCAACAACTATGCGGGACCTCGCACGCACAATCTCCCCACGGCCACGGAGGTTGCTGCTGTGTTGGTTGATGACGGCAACGCGGCGAATAACTGAGACTTGCTTCTCTTCCCACGGTCAGGTGGGCTTTGGCGACTGTTCGAAACCCATTCGATCTACGATTTACTTCAATGTCCTCTCTTGCTCCCTCTCGGGGAACTGGGTTGGACGTACACGGATGAGTACACGAACGGCGCTACGTATCGGAACAAGATGCGAATGGCGCTTCGCGAACATGTTGTGTACCGACTCTACCAGAGGGAAAACGACCAGTCGGTTCTCCACCAAGGCGGGCGACTGTTCCAACAGTGGGTGGTTGACCAACGTGCCAAGTGCGAACAGGAGAGTCTGCGCTGGGTCGCGGCAAACCAGAAGACACTTCGAGCTGATCTTTACAAGGGAGTTCTGGATGCGTACCTGCATGAGGGCGTGGTTGCATTAGGCGAAAACGAAGGCTTAGTGTCGGAATACGATCGTGACACAGGCATGTTAGTGCATCCAGAGCCAAGCCGCCGCCGTCACTTCCTTGATCAAGTCGGACAGCGCATCGTACTTCCAGCGTCGTTCTCGGGTGGTGAGAGATACATGTACTCATCAGGACTCCATGGCGATGGTGCGCGAGTTTGGCAAGCTGGATTTGTTCATGACTGTGACGTGCAACCCTCAATGGGATGAAATCACAAAGACGATAGACAGAAACGGACCACACCAAACTGCTCAAGATAGGCCAGATATTGTCGCACGTGTGTGGCAACAGAAGCTCAAAGCAGTGTTGAAGGATCTCGATGATGGGGTGTTTGGGCAGCATAATCGCGCGAATCTATGTGGTCGAGTTTCAGAAGCGTGGACTGCCGCACGCTCACATACTCATTATTCTCGCCCATGAAGACAAACCCAGGACTCGCCATGACTTTGACAAGTTTGTGTCCGCGGATCTTCCAGATGCCGTGAAGAACAGTGATCTGTACAACACAGTTTTGACCAGCATGATGCACCATGACGCACGGGCCGTGTGGAGCCCTAAACCCCAGCTCTCCGTGTATGAAGGACGGCGAGTGCACCAAGGGTTTCCCGAAGGCACTGTCCGAGGTAACACAAACCAACCAGAATAGATTTCCTGTCTACAGAAGACGCCTGTGAACTGACGGCGTGCTCAAGTTCAAGGGCAAGAAATATGACAATGCGACAGTCAATCAATGGGTTGTTGCGTACAATACATTCTTCTCTCAGAAATACGATTGCCACATCAACGTCGAGGTGTGCTCGAGCATCACGGCGATCAAGTACTTGTACAAGTACGTCTACAAAGGCGATGATATGACGGAAATCAGTGCGCGGGCATTTGGAGATGACGTGAGGGAGTCTGGACACCCTCGATTGAGCGTCTCATAAAAATACATATAACCTCACAAAAATAAACATAAAACAATCACCAAAACATGTATATTGTGTCCAGCCACTTTCAACTCCCCACCAACCAAGCATATACACACCGCCCGCGAAGCGGGCGGCGACTGCTAGTAGTAACTATAGTAATGAATTAGGTTTCCTAATTCATTAGGTTTCCTAATTCATTACACCATAAGCTGAGGTACGGCATTCAAATCTCATTAGAAGTATTATAATCGCACTCTGCTCATATGTATGTAAAGCGAACGTTCCATCGAACCGGGGGTTGGATATGCAAACTGTGAGGGGTGCAGGGTTAGAATCGAATTCAAATTCCTAGAATAACAATACTGTCGTATTCGCATTTTACTGTGCTTGACTGTATGTTAAGTGTAAATGCAAATTGTTAGTCGTAAATGCGAGGCAGAGGTTAAGAGGTGCATGTTTAATCCAGTGTTAACGTTTATTTTAGCATCAAATTTAAGGACAATATTGGAAATAAAAGTTCGTCTGGACACGGCACGTGCCTTGTTCGTCTCGATCAACCAAAATTAGTACAATGTCGGTCATAAAGGAGTGCGAGTTCTTTCATGAATAGTATTCGCTGAGCCCCCAGATACTAACCTACACACAGTTATTGTTAAACAAAGTAACGTTTAGTCACTTAATTCTCAGCTCAGACATGATCATCGCAATCATTTCCAAAGACGTGTTGGGTCCCGCGAGAGCAGGACCTGACTACAAATAGTCGAGCAGCAGAAACAGCAGAATTAGAAGTAGTTGCGTCGCCCTCAAAATGTGTTGTTGCTGCTGCTGTTGTCGCTGATGTTATTGGTGCTGCTTTAGTTACTTCTGTTGCTGTTATGCGTCGGGTGGTGGCTCATTTACTCATCACCACCCATATTCATCAACACAAATCATCAATATCAACACCCATTATCATCACCGATCATCATTATCACTATCAACTCACCATCACCAACCATCGTCAACACCACCACCACCCAACCATCACAACCAACATTCATCATAACCACCACCAATCATCCATCATCATCAACACCCATAATCACAACAACCCATCATCATCACCACCCATAACCATCACCACCCATCATCATAACCTCACCAATCATTACCACCACCCATGATCATTACCACCCATCATAATCATGACACATTATCATCATCAACCATCATCATTACCACCCTTCATAATCACCACCCATCATCATCATCATCACCACCATCCATTATCAAGAAACATCATCACCACCCATCATAAATTCACAAACACAAACAGATCCAAACATAGATATGTAACCTGACACAGACATAGATAACAGACACACACAAATAAACAATCTCATTAACAACTTAATCATAAAAAGCCCATATTACCACTGCCAGGATAGGTGCACACAGACAAATCCTTTACACAATAATAATTTACATGGAACTCAAATTCACACTTAGTACAACCACCTCACTCACTTAAATATAACTACAGATCAATAACTATAATAAAAACCTTAATTTAAAAGTAAATAAACCAATGGGATGGTGTTTATACGCTTGAAATGTAATTAATGAAATGCAAGTTAATAATTCCAATTAAACAAAAAATAACTACGAACAAATATGAAGCCTGAGGCCTAGGTATATGCCAGGCCTGATGGCCAGGCATCGCTTCAGTCCTCGCCGCAGTAACGGCGACATCAAAGACAGCACAAAGCGAGGGGGCAAATGTTTAATGTTGAACCGAGGGCTCTGCTGTTTCCGGTGACGCAACCACCCGCACTGCACCACGTGGTGCGCCCGCCAAGCGCGTGGGGGCGGAGCCTCGCTGTAGTGACGTCACCTCTGTTACGTCATAGCCACGCCTCCACCCGCAGTCGAGAGGAATGCGCACGAGTGAGCAGCAGCAGAAGAAGCCTTTGCAGAGCGAATCCTCAACGAGGTGAGCGTCCCTGTGGGAACCTCATTTGCCAGTAAAATATGATAATTGTTTTTTACCCTTCTATCTGGCAACAAAACTGACACCTTTTTACAGTGCGCCTTTTGGCGTCATCAGGTCCAACCCATGTGAGACTAGGCTCTAAGGAAAGCTGTCTCGGGTGTGGACCAATCAACTTCAAGGACAGTCCACATTATCAGAGTTATGTTCTTTTGTTTGTATTATGACTGCAGGTATTGCGGTCTATGCAAACATGACTCCTTGTAAAAAGGTGTCAGTTTTGTTGCCAGATAGAAGGGTAAAAAACAATTATCGTGAGCGTCCCTGTTGACGATGTGTGTTGTTTATTTTTATTGCACGTTTTGACTACAAACTAAAGCTTCATTATATTTGAATATGTTGATATTTGGATTTTCTGCAACCAAATTATGACTATTAGTTAGGTTACTTGGCATGCTCTGATATGTTACTGTTACTGTCATTGTTTAGACCCAAAGCAAGTTAACATTTAAAACGTTCATAACTAACCTGTTTAAATCTCATATAATATGATTAACATGTCTATAATTATTGTGTTCTGATTGCCTGCATAATTGTGCCCTGCATTACATGTTTTGAATGTTATCCAACACGGGGGAGGAGTCTGCCTTTTAGTTCAGACCCAAGCTGCTGCCATAGACGTCTCTTATCTGTGATGTCACAGCCACATGGGCGGTACCTCTGACATCAAGTGACCTACGACGTCATTCTCGGGTTATAACAAATGATTTAAGTACGGTCATTTGACCCCAATGACCTACAAGACATAGGGGGGCCTTTATCAAGCAGTCGATTAATAACAAATGGGCTGTGCATCAACATGCTTGTCTGGATTAGAGGTTAATCATCACGGTTATGTCTGTCGATTATGTTTAATGCAATAGGCAGTTGGAATAAACATGTTCGCGTGGGTGGATGAGTGAGTGATCTGACGCACGCGTGAGTGGGCAAACAAGCGAGTGAGTGATTTGATTGGTACAGCGTGTGGTCAAATATGTAATAATTGAGAGGATGAGTGATTCAAAAGGTTGCTAAATCTGAGCGTTTTTACAACCTCCCCAGGCCCTCCAACATCAAACAGAAACTACTCCTTCCCAACAACATGGACAGACAACGCAAGTGGGCTGACATCTTGGAGGACTATGATGGTAAGTCCCAGTTACCTGCATCACGTGGCTTTTATGCAGAGGAGGCAGCTCCCTGATTAATTATTTTTAGTAGACGTGGCTTGGTGGTGATGGGAAGAGGTAAACGGTCAAGGGTGGCAGACAACATAGATTTAGAGCTGCGTTTCAGCCATATTGGTTTAAATGGGGGTCTCAACTTTATGAAATTGATGATCTCAACATGCTTACAAAAATATGACTTGTAATGTTTTACTGCCATGTGACTAATGTTTCTCAACAGCAGGTCATGTTATGTGTTAAGAGGTAATTACAAGAATCTCAGAATTAGTTGTGTGAATATCCACGTGCTTCGTTCTCTAATACATTACTCGTCCTTTGAATTAATTTTGTTTTCCGTAGCCCGGGAGTCATGGCGTCAGTCGACCACGTGGGGGGACATTATGGATGAAGTGGACCCTTTCCCAGGCCAAAGCTATGAAAATCGTTCCCCAAAGGTGTGTATGGGGTCTATGGGAGTCAAACACCACATTCTCTCCACACTCCCACACCATTGCACCAAAACATTACTACACCTCACATCACCACACAATCTCTTCACATCACCACCAACTCGATACAATATACTCTTAGTTTTTTCGGTAAAGTCACGTACGTGACTCTTTCTTAGGTTTTTTCGGTAAAGTCACATACGTGAGTATGAATGCTTGCAGTCACGAAAGATTCAATTCGAGAATCAATACAATAGCATAGAGCCTCATAAAGCGTCAATACCATCACAAGGCACCGTCTCTCCAGAACATTCCACAATTTCTCCTCTCCGTATCACAACACCATCTCCCAACACCATCACTCCATCCCTCCATCATCACGTCATGCCATGAGTTAATGTGCATGTTTGCATCCGTACATAGATGTGCCAGTATGCATTTTTGTTTGTCTATGTGCCCGTCCATGTTTGTGTGCCTGCGAGAATGGATTTTGTCCTGAGTGTGCATGTCTGAATGGTCATGTGCTTATCTTCGCGTGAACAGAGGAGCATTGGGGAGGTGAAGAACTTCAGCGGAGTGAAGCGTCTCCAGGAGGACAAGCGCCTTGCGAAGGAGAAATGCCCAATGGAAGAGAAGCGCCCCAATGAGGTGAAGTGCCTCGCCAAGGTGAAGCACCAAACGGAGCAGAAGTGCCTTCGAAATAATATCCTCAAAGACGTGAAACGGGTCATGGAAAAGCGCCTCCTTGAAGAAACGCGCTTCATGGAGGAGAAGCGCCTTCGCGAGGTGAAGCGTCTCAAGGAGAAGCATCTGGAGGAAGAGAAGCGCCTCATAGATGTGAAGCGGGTCGAGGAAGAGAAGCGCCTCATGGAGGAGAAGCAGGTGGAAGAAGTGAAGCGCCTTGTCGAGGAGCAGCGCCTCATTGAGGTGCAGCGGGTCGAGGAAGAGAAGCACCTCATGGAGGAGAATCGCCTCTTTGAGGTGAAGCGTCTCATAGAGCTGAAGCGTCTCGAGAAGAAGAAGAAGCGTCTTGAGGAGAGGCGCTTTCGCAAGGTGAAGCTCCTCGAGGAGAAACGTCTCATGCAGGAGAAGCGCCTCGTTGAGGTGAAGCGTCAAGAGGAGGAGGAGCACTTGATGGAGGAGCAGCGTCTTGTGGAGCAAAAGCGCCTCGAGGAGGAGCAGCGCCTCGCCAAGATCGAGCGACAATGGCTCCAGACCGCTACCACCAGCAGTACCACCACCGCCGCCACCGCCACCACGTCCTCCAATCCTGTGTGGGACCCAATTGCTCCGAGCTTTGGAGAAGAGGGCTTCCAAGAAGATAAAGCAAACTCCGGAGTCGCTGAGCCACGGTAAACCACTCTGCGTGTGCGCCCTGTGTGTTTATTTTTGTTATTTATTGCCATGCTTCTCACGCAGAATCAGCCTTACTCGGTCTCAAGACTTTTTTTCAGGAGGATTCTGCCAAGTTTGCTCGCATTTTTCAAGAAAGTTGATACTGTTTGCGATCCAAATTGAACAATTTGCATTGCTTGTGTGGGTTTAGTAACAGGGAGAAAGCTGCAGAACATTCCCAGAACAGGTGGCTGCACAATCCACACGGAGAATGTGGCCAAACGTGGAAATCAAACCAAGGTCAATGTTGCTGTGATGCACAGGTGCTCAAGCCCTGTCGCGCTCTCAAAATTCACAGACACTGCAAACTCCACGTGTACATTCCGCTATACTGTGGACAGATTTATTTTTCATAACTGGTTTCTGGGTTAGACCACATAACGAAGTGGGCATATCTTCACCATGTAACCCTCCATCCACCGTGAGATTTTCGCTGTCTATCGCCTGTTTCTAGGCCAGCTGCCAATTCGCCTTGTAATGCACAGCGACAGCTACCACTGAGAGGGGTGTCCAATTTAAAACGCGATGAGATGAGAGATGCGAGAGGCTCATCGCATGCAATGCACTCTGAGATGCCTTTGACGTCAAGGGAGGTGGCTCTCTCGACCACAAATCACTGACGGACACTTTTTTTAAATCGTGGATGTGTTGAAGCGACCAAATTTTCGTGCACTCATTCTTCACCATTACAGTTCAGATCTTGCTTCCCGCCCTGGCTATTATTGCTGCTGCATTGACCACACAGATCCACACCCATTCCGTCACAGTGGACGTTCAGGATCTCTATCGATGCCATTTGAAATGCTTAGGACATTATGTGCAAGGGGTCAATTAGAATATACATATAGAATATGTTCAATCTAGATTTGAAGTTTTAGTGACTACAGGGATCCATATTCTTTGGTTATATCGGTAAATTCACGTAGGTATGAAATAAAATAAATTAAATTAAATCACGACGTTTCGATGGCCATGTCGTTATTGCAAGAACGTTTCTTGCTGTGGTTTTCCCACCTGATGATGATTGCTTGTGTTACAATCGAAACGTTGTGATTTAATTTATTTTATTTTATACCTACATGACTTTACCGAAAGAACCAAAAAAATGTCACTTCAAATTATTCAGCTAAATTTGCACAGCAACGCCACCCACTACTGTGAAACTACAGCAGTCTGTGTGAGACACAGCTGCACCTATCTCAAGGATAGCCTGGCGCCATGAGAATGACAGCACCAATACTAAGCACACTCACTGGCCATGTCGTTATTGCTGTTTCTTTTCAGCTCGAATTAATCCGCCACACATTCCACCCACGGACGATGGGGAGATGGCGATGTCTGCCGTAGCAGCAAGGTGGAACGGTGTCGTGTTTGACAGACAACCATCACAGTTTTACCATGTCTAGTGGTGGTCTCCCTGTTACAGGTTGAGTCACAAACCGCACCTCTCCATAACAAAGGCTCAGCCTTTGATATGCAGTCTATTCTTAGTCTTAAGCCTCACCTTACCATATTAATAAAAGTATGCGGCCCTTGCCCCACCACCTTCTCCAACCATCATATAAACGAAGTGGTAGCTTCTGCAATCTCTCATTTACCTGATACAGCTGTCGTGGCTGTGACGGTTCCACCTGAAGACGGAAGCTTGTGTTGCCTCCGAAACGTCGTGATTTTTATTTTTTACGTTATTTTAATTTTTTAATGTTTTTTTACCTACGTGACTTTACCGAAAAAACCTAAGAATATGAATCATTGCAGTCACGAAAGCTTCAAATGTAGAACGGTGTCGTGTTGTCTCTTCACAGATCTGAGCCAGCTCAGTCCTCCTCCTCACTCGTCCAGGCCTTTGAAGTGAAGACAGAGGTTGTGGAGAAGGAGACGAAGGAAGAGGTGAAGGAGATGGAGGATGAAGTAGAGACGGAGGAAGAGAAGGCAAAGGAGGACGAGATTGTGATGGTGACAATGGAGGGGAACACGGAGGGAGAGGAGAAAGACAATACGGAGATGGAGGACAAGGAGACAACAAAGGATGAAGAGATGGTCGTGGTGGAGGACATGGAGACGACGGACAAGGGGGAAACAATGGTGGTGGAGGAGGAAGAGAAGACGGTGGTGGAGATGGTGGTGCCGGAAGTTGAGGAGGAGATGAAGGAGGAAGAGATGGTGCTAGCAGAGGAGAAGAAGATGGACAAGATGGAGGTGGCGCAGGAAGAGGAGGAGGAGGTAGAGGAGATGGTGGTGGAGGATGAAGAAGAGGGGATGGAGGAGGATGAGACGGAGGAGAAAACGGAAGAGGTGCAGGTGGAGATGCACGAAAAGAAGAGGAAGCGAGGGGGCCTCGCTCGCGTGGCGAGAGCGATCGCCTCACTCCTCCGCCGCATGCTGCTTTGTGGTGGCAGGTCCACCGCCCAGTAGGAGTGGTGGCGGTGGTCGTGCATCGGTGCCAACCGTGACCACGATCACCACACTAACCGCCCACCCCGTGATACTCGCTACACACACCACACGGTTCCCCAGAGAGACGGTGCAACGTTCAGGTCCAGAATACCGAAGTATACCGGGAATCACCTGTACTTAAAAACACGTAAATTGATAACACTATAAACAATAACACTAAACATTAAACGACAAAAAAAGCTACCAACTGGTTTTATAATTTATACCACCATAAACGGAGGTACGGTATTTTAATTTCATTAGAAGTATTATAATGGAACTCTACACATGTTTGTTAATTGTCCGTTCAATCGAACCGACGGTCGGATATGTGAACTGTGGGGGTCGAGGGTAAGAATGGCATTCAAATTTTAGAATGACAATTTGGTCGTTTTAGAAAATTACTGTACTTGAATGTATGTTATGTGCAAATGCAAATTGTTAGTCGTAAATGCGAGGGAGGGGTTAAGAGGTGCACGTTTAATCCAGTGTTAACATTTATTTTAGCATCATATTTAAGGACACTGTTGTTGATAAGAAATCGTCTGGACATGTTATGTGCCTTGTTCTACTCGATCAACCAAAATTAGTACAATGTCGGTTATACAGGAGTGTGATTTCATTCATGAGTAGTATTCACAGAGCCCCGATGACACTAACCTACCTAAAGTTATGGTTAAAAAAGTAATCTTGAGTGACTTAATTCTGAGCTCAGACATGATCATCGCAATCATTTCCAAAGACGTGTGGGGTCCTGCGAGAGCAGGTCCCGACTACAAACAGCTGGGCAGCAGAATCGGAAGTAGCTGCGTTGCCCCTTGCTGCTGTAGTTGCTTCTGTTGCTGTAATAAACGCAGGGAGGTGGTGTTCCGTGATGGGATGACGCCTTTGATTAAAGCCTCTGTTCAAACTCACCCGATTGACGCCCTTGATCGTCGCATTTTATCAACTCTGATATTGTAGACTCTCACATGTTAAGCTCTATCATAGTGAAACATAATATTATAACCTATGAACTACAACCTATCCATTGTAACGCTGTAAAAGAATATTACCTATTGGGTTTCACTCCCTCGTCGAGAAGGCCGCTCTCTTCCTTTTCTAAAGTTACATGCTAATTTCCCTGCATTCACTTTAAATCGAGGACAAAGTTTTTCCATTTATTCAAAATAAGCGCACAATTACACACTGAGATGCACTTACATATTCATGCATGAAGCACAATGGGCACATTACCCTTCGGTATGTTAATATATATGCGGATTGTACCTTCCAAAATTAACAATCGAATGCAAATATCCTGAAAGACAAAGGATTGGATCCTAGGGGGGGGAGTTATAAGGCGGCTCAGAAGCAGAGCTCAATGCCATTTCGTGAGGGAACTTGATGAGGTTGGACGCTCGACTCGTCGCTCTGTTGATCGCCCTTCAACCGCGAGACAACGCAGCCTGGCGAGCACAATTGCTGTGTCGACAGTTAGGCGACTTTGCGTCGGGAGAGTTCGTGGCGACATCTTAAGACGGGTTACAGACACCGATATACCGTGAATCTCCAAGTAAGTGTCTATTTTCGCGGATAAACTCTTAAACGTGTTCGTCGTCAAATTTACGGGATTTGTTTGCGTCTCGCTTAGACGCGAGTGTCGTTCTTGTTTTAGCAGTTAACTAAATCCAAAACTCAACGCTAAACATCATTGCGGCCGATAGCGTACTTTTGATTCGATAACATCGCTGCTGTTACTACGCTCACATGGAGCAGAGACGCTCTCCACAGCCCCACGCACACGGAGACAAGAAGCCATTCAATTGCTCTGTGTGTGGTAAGTCCTTTTCATGGCCATCACATCTTCAGAGACACCAGAGAACACACACGGGTGAGAAGCAATTCCCGTGCTCTGTGTGTGGGAATGCATTTGCAAGCTCATCACTTCTTCAGAGTCACCAGAGAACACACACGGGCGAGAAGCTATTCCTGTGTTCTGTGTGTGGAAAGACATTTGCACACTCGTCAACTCTTCAAACCCATCAGAGAACACACACGGGCGAGAAGCCATTCCTGTGCTCTGTGTGTGGGATAGCATTTGCACGGTCATCAACTCTTCAAGATCATAAGAAAAAACACACAGGTGAGAAGCCATTCCTGTGCCCTTTGTGTGGGAAGACATTTGCTAAGTCATCACATCTTCAGAGTCACCAGAGAACACACACGGGCGAGAAGCTATTCCTGTGTTCTGTGTGTGGAAAGACATTTGCACACTCGTCAACTCTTCAAAACCATCAGAAAACACACACGGGTGAGAAGACGTTCTTGTGCCCTGTGTGTGGGAAGACATTTGCACACTCATCAACTCTTCAAACTCACCAGAAAACACACACCGGTGAGAAGCCGTTCTTGTGCCCTGTGTGTGGGAAGACATTTGCACAATCATCAAATCTTCAAGCTCATGAGAAAACACACACGGGCGAGAAGCCATTCCTGTGCTCTGTGTGTGGGAAGACATTTTCACACTCATCAAATCTTCAAGCTCATGAGAAAACACACACGGGCCAGAAGCCATTCCCGTGCTCTGTGTGTGGGAAGGCATTTGCACGGTCATCAACCATGAACAAGCATCAGAAGGTCCACAATGATAGGAAACTGAAATCAAAAGCTGAAATTCAAGGTGCTGCAATGAGTCCTGAAGATAATTCCACCTTCGATCCCATGCAGTTGGATCCCGAGAGATGGCTGGATGTAATGGAGTGGCTCGAGAGTCAACCAGAGAGCTAGCGGTGACTGAAAAAATATTATGTCATGTGGTTATACCTTTTAAGCCGTATCGAGTACTTTTTGGTTATAATTTTGACCATTTTAGTTTTACAGTTTTTTTAGTTTAATGACGTGCACAGTGGTGGTTTGTAATATTATCGGATTACTTGCCGAAGTGGTGTGATGAGCACTGGTTGTGAGAGGGTTCAATTGTAGTCGTTAAGTGTTCCTGTTGAGCTAAAGTTGGAATGCGCCTGTAGGTACATCTTTACTCAACATTTTAAACGATTTTTTTCAAGTATATGGCTTTTTTGATTGGTATTAATCGACTTGACTGCAACATAGACGCACAGTGAACAAATGTGGTGAACTAATAAGGAAATCATGGGGAATGATGTTTTAACACTTTGATATTCCTGGAACGGAAATGGTTTGCATTGTACTGGAAATGTGTGAACATAGGACATAATAAATATTCCCTTCGAGTTTTGACGTAAAAATTATTGCAGATGAATAAAAACGTATTTTTAACAAATGTTTGTCCGGTCTTTATTTTATAATGTTCCTAGCAAAAACATGTTCAGATAATTTCAGGTTGAGGATCTCCGTCACACAAGTGTGCCCTTAACCTGCAGCATCTTGGCTGTCTACCCGATTAACACGTGTTCCTTGAGGGGAAAGGTCCCCGTAGTTAGTCGTTCATCAACGTACCAGTCCCTAATCCCGAAGTATGTCGGGGATAAACTGTACTCTATAACAAGTAAACTGTAATACTAAAAACGATAACACTGAACATTTAACGATTATAAACTTATAACCATATTCACGGAGGCAAGGTATTATAATATCATTAGAATAGTGGGATTCGAATAATTGTAATTCCATTCTAATCCTGCATATCCTATACCCGGTTCGCATATGTGATTATAATTTGAGCACAGTGCGATTCTAATTATTCTTATTCGATTATAATCCCACTATAACAGTTAAAAGGATTTTACAGCGTTCATAGGTTATAATATTATGTTTCACTATGTTAGAGCTTAACATGTGAGAGCCTACAACTATCAGAGTTGATCAAATGCGACGATCAAAGGCATCAATAGGGTAAGTTTGATCAGAGTCTTTGATCAAAGGCGTAATCCCATCATGGAACACCACCTCTCTGCGTATATAACAGCAACAGAAGCAGCAACATCACATGTCGAGGGCGACGCAGCTACTTCTGATTCTGCTGCTTCTGTGGCCGGGCTGGAAATGATTGCGATGATCACGTCTGAACTGAGAATTAAGTGACTAAATACTACTTTGTTTAACCATAACTGTGTGTAGGTTATCTTCTTGGTTCTTTCGGTAAAATAACGTAGAAGGGAAATAATAAAATAATACAAATAAAACAGAATAAAAAAATTATCACGACGTTTCGGCCACAACGCAGGCAACCGTCCTCAGGTGAAGAACAGGGCTGTCGGAAAGACAGCGTCTGAATGAACACCACCAAGCTTGGCAGCGTATATTTAAGCTGCAGGGGGAAGGGCGCCTTGACAAGGGAATTTGCATATCAACAGATGAAATTAGAATATTTATGGGAAATGCAGATATGGGATTAGTCACTACTTGTGGAATGCGTAGGAGGTGGGGGGGGGTCATATTATGCCCGTGCATTATGTAGGATTAGCAGGAACAAAGGGAGGAAGTGGGGTTAGCAGTAATAAAGGGAAGGAATTTTAATTATAAGGAGCTGCAGCAGCCATACCACCACGTAAAAAACTAAACTATAAACTACATCAATATTATCAATATACTAAATATACTCTCCAATAAGCTGAGCTACTAACAGGAAGTAATAGTGGACGGGCATGTGAACTTTGCCCGTATGTATGTAATGTGTATGCATGCCATTTGGACTTGCGAAGCGGGGGGGTCGGATATGCGAACTGGGGCGTGCAGGATTAGGAATCGGATGAAAATTATTAGAATAACACTATGGTAGTATTATAATTACACTGAGCTAGAGTGTATGTTATATGTAGATGCGCATTGGGAGTCGTAAATGCAAACTGGGAGGTGCTCGGTTTAGAATAGCATCAAAATGAGTTTCATAACAACGTGGTCCTATTAGAATCACGCTATCAACAGCTGCTGATGTTCGGGTGGCGGCCGTCGATTCGGGCTCTGCTCTTCATTTCCTCGCCTGGATGGTGCCGCGGGACGCAGCATTTCTGAAGGTGATGTTGTTGTTGCTGCTGCTGCAGTTGCTGCAGTTGCTGCTGCTGCAGTTGCTGCTGCTGCAGTTGCTGCTGTTGCAGTTGCTGCAGTTGCTGCAGTTGCTGCAGTTGCTGCAGTTGCAGTTGCTGCTGTTGTTGCTGGTACTGTTGTTGCTGGTACTGTTGCTGCTTAAGTTTCAGTGGTGTTCCGTGATAGGATAACAAACTTTGATCAAATACTCTTATCAAACGAGTCGTTACAATTGTAACGAATCATAATTGCACGGGCTTATGTTGGGTTTGTAAGATCATTCTATATTTACATACTGAATATTGCTATTTGATGCCATTGAGATAGAACATTCACCCAGCAGTGGACAGCTTGATCCTAATACCACGAAAGTGTTATTCAAACAATTTTAATCCCATCCTGATTCTGCACCTTCCGTTTCACATATCCCACCCTTGGTTCGCACGTCCATATTACATACATACATGTTACATGCATGTTACATGCATGCATGTAACATGTTACATACATACATGTTACATGCATACATGTTACATACAGACATATTACATTCATGCATATTACATACAGACATGTTACATACTCACGAGCATAGTGTGGTTCTTATAGGACCACGGTGTGAAGCTAAGAATTCGAATATCACACTTCAATGTTCGGTGTTCTAATCTGTAACACTAGTTTATTGTTATTTTATAGCGTTATAATGTATAGCTCATAGCTTATATTGTTAGAGTTCACAACATTATAGTTTACTATAACACTAGTTTGTAGTGTTATTTTAAAGCGTTGCAATGTATAGCTCATAGTTTAAAGGTTATATTGTTAGAGTTTATAATGTTAGAGTATGCAGTGTGAGTTTACAATCTGAGAGTTTGTGGCCGTGCCCTGTTCTTGACTAATGTTACTTTGTTTAATCATAACTGTTTGTAGGTTAGTGCCATCGGTGCTTAGTGAATACTACTCATGAATGAACTCATACTTCTTTCGGATATAAATTTGAAATCGTGTTGGTAGAACAAGTCGTCTGCCTTTTCTAGACGAATTATCGTCAAGTGCGTCCGTAAATATACTGCTAAAATACAGAGCATAGGAAAGGCTGCCTTGTTCGGGAGATGTAGTTTGGCTAAGGCGCTGTGACCGGGTGATGACACGGATTCTGAAACAGTGGAGTTAAACACTCGCTGCTTGGCCCCGTCGACAGCAGCGAAGGCTGTCATATACCGCCCCATTTACGAGTTGGCTGTATAATGTGTATAGTTGAAGGTGCAAGGTGTAACGTGCGTGTGTTGTCTGTTTTTAGGATTTGTCCATTGATGTTGTTCTTTTTATTGCGGCGTTTTTTGTTGAGTTCTGTCACTTGAGTGTTACATGAGCAGAGTGCAATTATTATACGACCACACTGTGATTATAATGCTTCTAATGATATTATAATACCTTATCTCCGTTTATATGGTTATAAATTAAAACACTAGTTTATAATCGTTTAATGTTTAGTGGTATCGTTTATAGTATTACAGTTGACATGTTATAGAGTACAGTTTATCCCCGACATACTTCGGGAATTAGGGACTGGTACGTTGATGAGCGATTAACTACGGGGACCTTTCCCCTCAAGGAACACGTGTTTAATCGCGTAGACAGCCAAGATGCTGCACACTTGTGTGACGGAGATCCTCTACCTGAAATTATCTTAACATGTTTTTGCTAGGAACATTATAAAATCAAGAACGGACAAACATTTGTTAAAAATACGTTTTTATTCATCTGCAATCATTTTTATTTATTATGTCCTATGTTCACACATTTCCAGTACCATGCAAACCATTTCCGTTCCAGGAATACCAAAGCGTTATCATTCCCCATGATTTCCTTAATAGTTCACCACATTTGTTCACTGTGCGTCTATGTTGAAGTCAAGGCCATATATCCAACGAACGCGTCATCAATGTACTTCCTGGAATCGGCTATCTAAAGTAGATTAATACCAATAAAAAAGCTATATACTTGAAAAAAAACCGTTTAAAATTTTGAGTAAAGATGTACCTACAGACGCATGGTCAAAATTACGGATTAAAAGGTATAACCACATGACGTAATATTTTTTCAGTCACCCCGAACTCTCGGTTTGATCCTCGAGCCACTCCATTACATCCAGCCATCTCTCGGGATCCAACTGCATGGGATCGAAGGTGGAATTATCTTCAGGAATCATTGCAGCACCTTGAATTTCACCTTTTGATTTCAGCTTCCTATCATCGTGGACCTTCTGATGCCTGTTCCGTTTTGACGACTGTGCAAATGCCTTCCCACACACAGAGCACAGGAACGGCTTATCGCCCGTGTGTGTTTTCTGATGAGTTCGAAGAGTTGATGAGTCTGCAAATGTCTTCCCACACATAGAGCACAGGAATGGCTTCTCGCCCGTGTGTGTTCTCTGATGAGTTCGAAGAGTTGATGAGTCTGCAAATGTCTTCCCA